GTGGTGGTGATGGTGGTGATGATGATGGTGATGTTGGTGATGATGATGACGACTATGATGATGATGATGATGATGATGATGATGATGATGATGATGATGATGATGATGATGATGATGATGATGATGATGATGGTGGTGGTGATTTTGATGAGGATAATGAGGATAATGAGGATGATGATGAGGCTGATGCTGATGATGCCGATGATGCTGATGCTGATGCTGTTGCTGATGCTGATGCTGGTGATGGTGATGGTGATGATCATAATAATGGCGATGGTGATGGTGCTGATGCTGATGATGGTGCGTGTGCTGATGCTGATGCTGATGCTTTTTGTAGCAGTGGTGCTGCGCAACCGCTGGCCGAGGCTCGGCCCAGTTCGCCTCGACAGCTGGCGGAGCGGTCAGAGGCCGTGTCCCCCCAGCATACCGCGCAAGCCGACGCCCGTCTAGAGGCTGCCCAAACAGCGACGCACGCTTCGCTGGACCTGGGGGCCGACCGAAGCATCACTCGAAGTCCGACGGGGGGCTTCCCATCGGAAGCTGCACGGCGCGCCAAGAGCGAAGTCACAGCTGCTGCACGCCCACACGGCGCCCTGAGGGTAGACGTCCTGCCCACACTCGGCGCACTCCCACTCGCAATCAGCGGAGGTTTGAGCACATACCCTGTCCGCATCCTTCGCACTCCCACTCGCAATCGGCGGAAGTTTGAGCATGTACATTACCAGTGGCGGGCTGTGTTTCAATCCCAGGACCTTTTTGAGCGTCGGGGACGACGTCGGGGTGGTGTGGTGTATGCTTGCTTCTTGTTGTTTTCCTGGGGAAACATCGAAACGTGTATACACCAGGATCCCGTGCACACCAGGATCCGCTTTCACGTGCGAATTCCCGTGTGGGGCCAGCAAAAGTCGTCGGGGCATAGAGTTCGGCTCCTCCAAGTCAGCCCACGAGAAGTGGGCGAACCGCAACACTGGCACGGCCCGGCCATTCCGCCTCTCCCCTGAAACAATTGCGTCGAGGGACCGCTGACGACCTCTGAACTCTGCCTAGGCCGCGAACCCACTTGACCTTAACAGCACTGCAATTCGACTCCTCCTCCTCCTCCTCCGTCGCCTCTTCCAGGTCGCCCTCGCTCAACGCTCGAATGTGATGTTCCTCCGAGCCTCGCTCGTCCCCGCCGCTACTCTCAACTCAGAGGACGCGCACGCGGGGACCTCGTGGTCGCCCACCGCGTCCTCCACCAAGGCTACGGTCTTCGCCGCGGCGGCCACCAGCGAGGGCACCGAGGCGCACTCCATCAGCTTCTCCTCGACCTTAGGGGCCTAGCCCACACAGGCTGACACGACCGACCCCAAGGACCATCCTCCCTCCGTCCCTCTTAATTTTTTGTTTGCGCAATTGTCTCGCGTTGCATGTTGTCCAGGCACGCCAGATTCCCGAGGCCACGGCCTCGCCCACCCGGTCTTGACTAGGCCCGGACGCTGTCCGCAACGGTGGTCGCATCGCATCGCATCGCATCCTCCTCGCCTTGCATCTCGGGCTTGACGCTGCCCTCCACCGCGGCGCCGCCGGTCGGAGCAGCCCCGCCGCCGATCCCGGTTGGCTCGTCGAAGTTCGAGGCGTGGCGCTCCGTTTGGGTGATAGGGGTTGACGTAGCTCTCCAGCTCCTGCTGCTCGCCCTGGAGCTCAACCTCCGAAAGCTGGATCCCATCGTCCCTGCCGCCGATCTCCTGGTGACCGAGACGACGCCCGCGCTGGGCGCGCCGCAGCACCGCGGGGCTAGCGGAAACCAGCGTGGTGGGGATCACCTTCGCGTGCAGCGCGACGTTGGTGCCTCAGCTTGGTGACGCCGTTCCCGTTCTCGGAGACCATGCGCTCCCGCAGCGCTGGGGCAACAGCTGCCAGCCTCTCTGCCAGTTCGCCATCGCCCAAGCACGCCGCCGGCTGGACGCAGCGATTCCTCCAGGACTGCGCCTCACGGCGGGGGTCCTGCTGCAGCGCCTCCGACGACCAGCGCGCCCACCGCTGGCCAGCGCGCCGCTCTGCCGAAGTTATCCAGCCTCCGCGCGGGCGGTCCGCCGTGGCTACCCGCTCGGCGCCGCTCGTGCCATCGCAAGCGCCACAGCCGCGCAGGAGGGGAAAGAGACCGAGCCGCTCTCTCTCTTACAACGGGGAGGGACACGGCGCGCACCTCGCCCACCCTGGCGCCCAAGGCAGGCTTGAGCCAAAATTGCTACGGATGCTGCTGATGCTGCTGATGCTGCTGCTGATGATGATGGTTGTGGTGGTGGTGATTGTGATGATGATTGTGATGGTGATGGTGACGGTGACGGTGACGGTGATGGTGATGGTGATGGTGATGGTGATGGTGATGGTGATGATGATGATGGTGATGGTGATGGTGGTGCTCATGATGGTGATGCTGGTGCTGGTGCTGGTGCATGCTGATGATGATGGTGATGATGACGTTGATGGTGATTGAGGTGATTGAGGTGATGGTGATGATAATGATAATGACGATCATGAGTGGTGGTTGGGGATGATGGTGCTGAGGATGCTGCTGCTGCTGATGCTCCTGCTGCTGCTGCAGCTGCTGCTGCTGACGATGATGATGATGATGATGATGATGATGATGATGATGATGATGATGATGATGATGATGATGGTGATGGTGATGGTGATGGTGATGGTGATGATGATGATGGTGATGGTGATGCTGATGATGATACTGATAATGTTGATGGCGATAATGGTGATGAGTATAATGATAATGGTGATGATGAGGATGAGGATGAGGATGAGGATGAGGATGATGATGATGATGATGGTGGTGGTGATGGTGATGGTGATGGTGATGGTGATGATGATGATGATGATGATGATGATGATGATGATGATTATGATGATGATGATGATGATGATGATGATGATGATGATGATGATGAGAATGATGGTGGTGGTGGTGGTGGTGATGGTGGTGGTAGTGGTGGTGATGATGATGATGATGATGATGATGATGATGACCCCCACTGGGACAGGGTCAGTTCGCTTTCCCAGCGTATACCACCCCAGGTGGGGATCGGTGGCGCCATCCTCACCTAAGGGGGGCTAGGTCGGCCAGCTGGGCCAAGGTTTCCCAGGTGCACGTGGGGATTGTTTGACTTGTCCATGGATGCCGCTCACCTTTGTGACGTTGCAACGGGCCGTTCAGATCCTGTCGTTGCAATTGTTTCACAGCGGGCGTTTTCGCCCCGCTTCGGCCCCGGGGACCCTCACGGGTCGATTCGGCCCGAAAAATGGAGCTGCAAGGTCGGGTCTGGGGCTCTGGTTGCGATTTTCGCGAAGCTGCCTGCTGTCGCTTCGTCGGATCTCGGGGCCCTTTTTCTGGGCCATGGCATCTCAGCCCCGCCATCCCGCCCCTCCTGTTGGGGATATCGGCCCCTGGAACCCCGAGGGGAACGGCCAACGGTCAGGAACTGCTGTACAGTCGGGTCGCTGAAGAAGGAACCCTTTTCGTTGGGGAGGGGCTCCGTGTTCCTTCATTGTTTCGCAGCTTGCCTCAGGTGTTCCTTCTGATTTAGGTGGGAAGCCGAAGTTTAACGTATGGAAAAAGGGGCCTCATTCCTTATTTAGGGTTCCTTAGGTCAACGCCCCGAGTGTGTATAGCGTGTCGCTCCGCCGGTCCTGGGCCGCCACGCCTCGGCGCGACACGTCATCCACGTCGCAGTCCCCGAGCGTCCTCGTCCCGAGCGGTTCCCGGCCTCCCGCCCAGCGGAGCGCAGCGACACGCTATCCGCTCGCAGGGCACGGCGTGTCTCAAGGGAGGAAAAACCACCCGGACCGGACAATTTTTCGTTTACTTCACGGCCCTGGGCGTTTACTACACAGCCTTGCCCTGTTTGATTCCTTCTATGGGCGCGTTTACTAAACCGCCTCGCTGGTCGGGGTGGTTACTATGGGGCTGGATGGTTTGCCCCCTAGTGTCGCCGGGGCCGCCGCGGCGACACGCCGAGCAGAAGTTCCCGACCGTGCCGGCCAGCCGGGCCAAGGCCATGCCTGTGGGGATGGGGGATCGGTGAAACGAGCAGCACCGAGGCCGCTCACCGCCGAGGAGCGCGAGCGCGCGTGGACGGCCGCGAACTTCTTCGGCGCGCGGCCGCAGCAGTCGGAGCCGCTGGCCCTCACGGGAGCAAAGGGCACCGATGCCGCTCCCCTTGCCTCGTGTTCGCCTGTTGGTGCCTCCCGGGGCAGGCCGGTTGGCCTCGGCCAGGCTGTCTTCGGCCAGGCTGTCTTCGGCCAGGCGGAATCCGCCCCGGGCCGAGTTCAGCCTGGCCGAGCGTGGAGGGTTTCGTTTCTCCCTCCTCCTCCACCTCCTCCTCCACCGCCTCCTCCACCTCCTCCTCCTCCTCCTCCTCCTCCACCTCCTCCTTCTTGGCCTCCTCCTCCTCCTCCTCCTCCTCCTCCATCTCCTCCTCCTCCTCCTCCTCCTCCCCCCTCCTCCTCCTCCTCCTCCTCCTCCTCCTCCTCCTCTCCTCCTCCTCCTCTCCTCCTCCTCCTCCTCCTCCTCCTCCTCCTCCTCCTCCTCCTCATCCTCCTCCTCCTCCTCGGGTCGCCTACGGCCCTGGGGGAAAAGGTGTAGCCGAGCGAGGGCGGCCGAGCTCGGTCTGACCAAGTTTCGCCTGGCGGAGTCTCCCCCCTGTCTCCTGGGTGGCCCTCGTCGCCACCGCTGGATTCGCCTCGAAGTTCGAGTCAGAACGCAAGCTCTCCCCCCTCCTCCCAGCCTCTCCCTGCCCTTCGTCCCCCTCCGCCTCCAATGCCGCTCCTGAGGGTTTTTCGCCTTCGCCTCTTCCAGTTTGCCGCCTGCCGCTGCGGGCACAGCGGCCCTCGCGATGCGCCGCGTTGGGGGCATTTGGTGGCGAGGTCCGGGGGGGGGGTCTTTTGGGTTTCCCCAGGCCCTGTGGATCCTGGGGCCGTCGTCCGTGGGCAAGTCGACCCTGACCGCCATGGTTGCCCCGCGCTTCGGCATAGGGCTCGCCCAGGGCGCGCAGGAGCCTCCGGAGGCCTCGCGGCAGCACCTGGACGCCGTGATCGTAGATGGCGAGTTCATGCGCGACGCGCACGGGGTCTATTCCGAAGGAGAGAAGGCGGCGTAAGCACAAACTGTCGGAGGTCCGCGCGGGCTTCTCTTGGATCCCCCCTAGCGGCGCCTCTGGCACCGCCCCTGGCGCGCTCCGCGCGCCAGGGAAGGGGGTCCAGCGCCGATGCAGGAACCCCGCGCGGAGCACCGGTAGTTAGTGGTTTCGCGGTCGTTGACTCTTCTGCTATTGCCGCTGGATCAAGACGGACGGCTGGAAGTCTGCGTACCCTGCGCTGAAGTCCGTCATCAACCAGGAGAAGGACAGCATGTGCACGGCCGCGGCCGAGGACAGGAGGCACCTGGTCATACCGCAGACGATGCTGAACCTGGACAAGGGGCTCACGGAGGTGGTGCAGCTGAGCTGCCAGGGGCTGAGCTGCCCCGATGCGCCCGTTTTGAGATGCAGCACGTGCCGTGCTCAAGACGTCCGTACTGACACGCGCTGCGTGTTGGCTCGACGTGTTTGCCCACGTTTTGCCGAAGGTGCCGCGCCAGCCGTACGTTTCTAATCTCTGTGAGTTGAGCTCCTTGGCAGCACGCTACGGGTTGCGTGTTGCGTATCGGGGCAGCTAAGGCCAGGGGTACACCAACCACGTCGTGGCAGTCGTCGCTCCTCTGGAGGACTGCCAGCGGCGCGGGGCCGCCCGCGAGCTCGAGACGGGCAAGCGCTACGAGCCGCGGGAGTTCCGGAAGTCCATCGACTCCATCTGGCCGATGATCTCCGCCTGCAACGGGCGCTACGAGCTCCTGCACGCCGTGGAGCCCGAGGCCAAGGTCAGGAGGCTGGAGTACCGCACGCTGGCCAGCGGCCTGTGCCGCAAGAGCCCCATCTATGAGGGCGCATGCCCGAGAAAGCAAAAAAAGGCATGGAGATAAACGTTCGGAGGCCCGGGCGGATCTCTCGGATCCTGCGACGGGCCGGTCCAAGAAGTCCGCACGGAGCTTCGAACGTTCATGTTTAGGTTTTTGTTTGGTTTCTCTACGTACCCCTCCGTGGACGAGGACTCCTTCCGCGGCCTCCTGCGCTCGGCGCTCGGCAGCAGCGGCGAGGACGACGCCGTGGTCTCGTCGGCCTCATCCGGGGCCCTCGACAGGCAGACGAGCATCCCCGAGCAGCGCCAAGGGGGGGGGGTCACCTCTGGAGCGACGCATTCACACGGGGTCGTCTTCACCCCGACGTTCGCGCGTAGGCTGCCGCGTAAGGTCGCGCGCGAGCGCCCTCGCCTACGACGTGGCGGTCCGCGCAGGCGGCCCGCGCAATCTCGCGTGAGGCGCCTTTCTTTCCGTCGCCCGCTTGGGGAGGGGGGTCACGAGCTCCGCCCAAGGATCGAGGCTCTCGGATCGGAGCTCGGGGAGGCTTCTGGACGCCCGGTGCTGTCTTGGAGTGCTCGGGAGTGCGCTGGGGGGCCCCACTTCCTGGGGGAAAATGGGGCTACCAGCTCCTCGCGGGGGCCGAGGTTCCAGGCTCGAGGCCCGAGAAGGTTCCTGGGCTCTTGGAGCTGTTCGGAGGGGCTCGGGCCCCACTTCCTGGAGGAAGCTGCGTGTTTGAGGAAGTGGCGACCCCCCCAGTGATCACCATTTCGATCCGATCGATCCGATTCGAGGTCGATTCTGGTCGCCTCGATGCGCTTCGATTCCGGTGCACGGGCGATCCGATTCGGCCCAATGCTTGCATGGCGCTGTGGTGCAGCCTGGCGCAGCCGGTCCGCTTCGATCTCGGTTCCGCGCCGAGGCACGCTCCGACTCGGTCCGAGGTGCCGGTTCGTTGCTGGTGGATCCTGCCCCTGGTGGCTCGGGGGCGGAAAAGAGGGGGGTGATGACTAAGGGGGGGTGGATATCATGGCGCGGGCCATGATATTTCCGCAGATTTCATGGCGCCTCTTCTTATTTTATTGCGTCCCTGGTCCCCCCCCGCTGGGCCGCGCACATGCCGCCGGTCATGATTTGCACCCCCCCGTCTTGGACACCCCCCTCTTGGCCGCTCCCGAGTGGCGACCCCCCTTGGCATTGCCTGGCGTCCCTGGGCTGCCCTGCGGCGACCCGTCGCTGGCGCCGCGGCCGCTGACCGAGGAGGAGCGCAGCAGGGCGTGGCGGAGCGCGAACTTCGACGCCACGCCCTCGCACCAGGAGCGGCTGCGAGCCCTTGGGGGGGGGGGGGCGATGCTTGGCGGCGCGCACAGGGGGGTATGGGGAGGGGGGAAGGCTTCTTAGAAGCACCCCTGCTTTTTAGAAGGCGTGGGCCTTGTCTACAAATGTAAGGCCGCCGCCTTCGAAAGGAGCAGCCTCCTTCTAAGAAGCCTTCCCCCCTCCCCCTACCCCCCTCTGCGCGCCGCCAAAATGCAGAGGGGTCGTTTTGTTGGATGGATCTTTCTGAAGCTCTCCGCCGCCTCGAGCGGTGTGTGCCTTCAGAGCAGGGGCACGCAGCAAAGCCATAGGACAGCGTGGCACTGACGGTGCAGCTCCGCACGCGCGTCAAACACCTATAGCGAGTAGTTGAGGACACAGCAAGGCCCCAGGACAGCGAGGCATTGACAGTGTAGCTCAGCATCAACGCAGTGGCCGGGCAACCCCCGCGACATGTCCACGAGCGTTGCTCCACTCAGGCGGGTGGCGTTGAATACACAAAGGGAAATACCACAAAGAAGCCAAGGTAGAATGACAACCTCAAAGCCATTGCAGCTGAAGTCGAAATCGATGTCTATGTCAAGCAAAGCGCTGGGCCCCACCTCTCCTGAGAGTATGAGAGTACCGGCTTCGCGCCAAAATGCTGCAGCGGCGAACGCGCCGATGAAACATGCAGGAGAAGCGGGCAGAGAGACAAGGGGAAATGGGAGAGACATCAATCATGTTGCGCCCTGCGTGGCGTTCACACTCACACGATCATGCGCTTCTCTCCCAGCCTGCACCGTGAGCCGGACGAGGGGGATGCTCCAAGAGGGGCCAGGCCTCCTCCGAAGGCTCGGAGGAGTTCTCGGAGCCTCCCCCGAGGACGCAGGACACTGCTCAGCAGGCGCGATGGCCTCCGAGAAGCCCCGCCGCCCTCTGCGAGAGAGCCCTGCCGCCACCGACCCCGCCGCGCCTCCCTCACCGGGGGAGGCCGCTCACGATGGGGCCCCTCCTGCCCAGACCGCCGCCGCCGGACCCTCGAGGCCTGCCCGAGGGCCGCCATCGTCCAGCGTGGCATCGCTCGGGCGTGTGCCAGGCTTCCGTTTCTCGGCAGGGGCCATCCGGGGAGCAGCTTGTGGTCGCCTTGCGGAGCAGTGCACGCACGAGGTCGAACAAAAGGCACAGGGCATGGGCGTCCGAGCGAGGGCGAGCCGATCCGGCGCCTCCCCCCCGGGGCTCGCCGCCGCCAGGAGCGGCCCGTGGCCGTGTGGGTGCTCGGGCCCGCGCGCGTGGGCAAGTCGGCGCTCACCCCGGCGGCTGCAACAGAGGCGGACAGCCCGGGAGGGGGGCCACTCGGAGGAGGGAGGGGCACCGACGCCGCTGCCCCGCGCCTCGCCGCCGCCTGGGCCTCCGGGAGGCCCTCGTCGCCACCGCTGGACCCGTCGCCTCGAGCTTCTGGTCGGAGCGCTTCCCGGAGGCCCGGGGAGTGGCGGTATAGGGTGGAACCTGGCTTCGTCGGTCACACTGGCGGCCACGGGTTCCCGCCGCCCGTGCCTTCGACGAGGCCCCCCGGCGATGGCGCGGAAGGCTCGCCCCGCCCGGGCCGTCGGCCCCTCTTGCCTCCCGCCGGTCCTCGCGCAGCTGGGCGGCAGCTTCGACGTGCTGGAGCCTGCCGAGGGCGCCGGCTGCAGGCTTGGCATCGCTCGGACGTGTGCAGTCTTCCTTCGGCGAGGACAATCGAGGAACATCCTTGATCATTTGGCGAAAAACCACGCACGAAACCGAAAAAAACACAGGGAATGGACGTCCGAGGGATGGCCAGCAGGGTGGACGGTGTCCTGGTGGACGGCAACATCTTCCGGGAGGCGCACAGCGTCTACCAGCAGTGGGCGGAGGCCGCCAGTCCGGCCGCCGCCGCCTCGGCGTTCAAGTCCACCAGCGACAGGGAGAAGGATCTGCTCGTCACGAAGGCCGCGCTGTGTCACAAGAACATCGTGATGGGCCGCCGGCTGACGGACTTGAACAAGGGGCTGACCGAGATCGAGGGGCTCAAGTGGCAGGGCTACACAAACCACGTCGTCGCCGTCGTGGCCACCTTCGAGGAGTGCCAGCGCCGGGCGGGTCCCGAAGGCGCTCGCTGTACCCGCCGCGACTATGACGCGTCCCTGCGCGCCATACCGCCGATGATCGCGGCGTGCAACGGCCGGTACGCGATACTCCGCCCCGCAGAGCGCCCAGAGCCCAGCGATGCGCCGATCCTCTTCAGTTGCCGCTGCCAGGGCCAGGGGGTGCCCGAAGGGGGCTCCGCCACGAGCCTGGCCTTCTCCTCCCTGGAAAGCCTGACGCGCGAGGTCGAGCAGGCCCTCGCGCAGGATGGCGACTAAGACGCGACGGGCCAGCGGCAGCTTGCCAGAGGCGGGTGCTGCTGAGCTGTGCGAGAGGGGCCGGAGGCATAGAGGCGAGGTGAGTTGAGGGGTACGCAGAAGGCCTCTCCTCACGATACTCTTTTTTTTTTCTGCAGGGAGGCCCTTTGCCACGTGAGATGATCAGAATACATCGTGTCCAGGTTTAGGCTGCAGCGTGTGCGCAGTGCCCCCAAGCATAGCCCACTCGTGGCTCGCGGGCAAGACCATGATCACCAGCCAGTGCGCGATGGGCAGTTCCAGCAGTAGCCACGCGCCTGCAGTCTGACTCACAGGTGTCCAGCATCGCCAGGCCATGGACCATCGCCATCTCCCCTGCCTTTCCCCTCCTCCCTCCTTTCTCCTGCTCCTCCTCCTCCTCCTCCTCCTTCCTCCTCCTTCTCCTCCTCCTCCTCCTCCTCCTCCTCCTCCTCCTCATCCTCCTCCTCCTCTCCGTAGCCGCAGCGCGGCGCCTAGGGACAGGAGAAGCAGGAGGAGCATTAGTCAGCGGAGGTAAGGGGCTGAAAGGACGATGGCCCCCTGCTTCCTCCCCTCCCCCTCTCTCACCTTTCCTCCCGTCCTCCCGCTTCCGCCCCTCACCTCCGCTCCTCCTTCCCTCCCCTCCCCTCGCGGAGGGCCAAGCTTGAGAGGTGGACGGGCTCCAGCCTGGCACTCCCAGAGGGCAGGCAAGGCCCGGGATCGGAGGGCACCCCGCCGCAGCCAGGGGGCGCGAGACCACGGCTCCGGCAGGCGGCGCTCGGCCGCAGCCCGCCCTCTGCCGAGGGGGGGGGGGGGGGGGGGGGCCCCCTCGTACCCCCCGCAGCCCCGAGCGTCGCCGACGTCCCTGCTCCGTCCTCCCCCCCCCCTTGTCGTTTCGCTTCGCTTGCCTCGGCCCTCCTCCCTCTCGCGCACTCCCCTCCTCCTTCCTCCGGCCCTGGCACCGGACCCGCTTAATTTGGATCTGGTGTCCACCGGGGCCGGGCGTGGGAGGAGGTCCATTCTGGAACGGGTGCACACACACACACACACAAGCAGCCGATGCTGCGCGCCACAGCCTGAACTCGCCAGCCGACAGGGCCAGCGGTGGCCGGCGCCGTCTCTGCGCATCCCCCGCGTTGCCCCGCGGAGTCCGAAGCTGACATGTTGCCACCCCCTGAGGATGAAGCACCGCGCCCCCTGGCAAGCACAGGAGGGCGAGAGACGACCAGACGGAGGACGGGCACGGGCGAGAGGAGGAGCGAGAGAGGCCGCGGAGCTGGGAGAAGCGGGCGAGCACGAGCAGGGAGGGGCGAGGGACACAGGACGAGAGGGGGGCAGCAGGCAGGCGGCGCAGAGGGGCCGAGGGGGGAGCGCGGTGAAAGCCAGTGGATCCAGCAGGTGGGCGAGGAAGAAGGAGGGGGGGAGGCTGGCAGTTGATCCAGCAGGGGGGGGGAGGATGGCAGGGGGGGAGGAGGATGGCAGTTGATCCAGCAGGTGAGGGGGTGGGAGGCTGGCAGAGGAGCGGGCCGGCGCGGGAGAGGCCCGGCGGGGCCTCTCTCAGGGGGCGCCGGGGGGCCTCGCCGCGCCCGCGGGCAGCTGGGCGCGGCGAGCCCGCGCCGCAGCGCCGCGGCGAGGCGCTCGGCGCGGGTCGGCGAGCGCCTACCGCGCGCTGGGCGCCGGCGGCTGCCGCTCGTCTCGAGCGCAGCGGCCCGCAGAGGGCCTCGGGCAGCGTCGCTGTCTTGGTCGAGCCCGCGCCTCCTCCCGGCGCGCGGGGCCACGGCCTCGCCCGCCCGGTCTCGAGTCGGCCCGGGGCGCGGTCCGCAGCGGTGGTCGCATCGCACCGCGTCGCCTGCTGCCGTGCCTTCCCTCCCCTGTCCCCCGCCCCTTCCCCGTCCCCTCTTCCCTTCCCCGCCGTCAGGGGGGCGCGGGGTGCACAGGGGCCGCCGAGGCCCACCGCTCGGAGGGAGGCAGGGAGGAGGCGGCGAGGCGAGAAGGCAAGGAGGGGGAGTAGAAGGAGGAGGAGGAGGAGGAGGAGGACGACGACGACGCCACGGCTGTGTGTGCCCAGCGGCTTGCCTAAGAAAGGAGGAGGAAGAGGAGGAGGAGGAAGAGCAGGTAGAGGAAGGCAGTAGAGGAAGATGAGGAAGAGGGGGAGGAAAAGGAGGAGGAGGACCAGTGTAAACCCAAGACCCATCAGCGATGCTGCAATAAACGCTCCCTCCAAGTTGATTTGTTTAAGGGTCCCTACAAGGATCTACTCTCACTGCAGGAAGTGCCCCGTTGGAACACAACCGTCTGAAAGCCCGGAACCGTGCGAGAACACCATTCTTGGGACACTACCTCCGCGAATCATCGTCACTGTGGCGTCCTGACGATCCAGAATCTTGCCAGAACGCAATTCCTGGGACTGCAACGTCGCGGATCCACGTGACCGTTGCGCCCTGACAGTCCTACATCATGCCAACACACCATTTCTCGGACGTCAGCCGTGAGATGCCTTGAAACTGATGCAAGCTCCTAAGACGAATGCTCGCGGGGCTAAGGCGAGAGCAACCTTTTGAAGAGGAACCGCCCTTCATTCGTGAAGCGATTGCGAACTTGAAAAACGATTGTGCGAGGCGCTGGGGTGAGAGCCACATCTTGAAAACGGCCTGCTCTCCATCCGTGAAGCTGCTGCAATATTTTACAACGAATGCGCGCGGCGCTGAGGCGAGAGCCACTTTTTGAAAACTACCCGCCCTCCATCCGCGAAGCTGCTGTAGTTTTTTTGCTTAAGGACCATACGCGGTGAGGACATCTCAAGCGAAACGCCCGCCCCGCTATACCGACACGTCTCGGGGCGCGACAGGGAGGAGTTATTTAAGGATGGAGGAGGCAGGAGGAGGGGAGGAGGCTGTCGCCGTCATCGTCATTGCCCCTTGCGCGGTGCACTGCCCCTTTCTTCATTGGCGTGGGCTGCGTCTCTGACGCCATTGCCCGAAGAAGTCCGACCGACCGACCGAGGGGAACGAGGAGGAGGAGGAGGGGGAGGAGGAGGGGAAGGAGGAGGAGGAGGAGGAGGAGGGAGGGGAGGAGGAGGAGGAGGAGGAGGGAGGAGGAGGAGGAGGAGGAGGAGGGGGAGGGGGAGAGGGGAGAGGAGGAGGATGAGGAGAGAGGAGGAGGAGGAGGAGGAGGAGGAGGAGGGAGGAGGAGGGAAAGAGGAGGAGGGAGGGGGGATGCACGCAGACCGCCGCCGCCCGCCCTCCGCACCGTGCCGCCATGCTTGTGCGCTGTGCGCCGGCGGGACTCCCTCCTCGCTCTCTCTCTCCCCCCTCTCCCTCTCCCCCCTCCCTCTCTCTCTCTCTCCCCCTCCTCCCTCCCCTCTCTCTCTCTCTCTCTCTCCCCCCTCCCTCTCTCTCTCTCTCCCCCTCTCTCCTCTTCCCCCCTCCCCGCTCCCCTCTCCCCCCCTCATCCCTCTCTCCCTCTCGGCTGTCCCCTCCGCGCAGCGTGCGCACGGGACCTGCGGGCGCACGCGTCCGCGCCGCTCCTCCGCAGCCCAGCTGGCGCGAGCCGTGCCCGAGCAGCAGGGCGTGGCAGGCTGGCATGAGCGCGGCAGGGCCGGCGGCGGCACCCTCATGCTCGCCGAGGCCCCCGAGCAGCCGCCTGGCGGCGGCCAGGGCGAGCGCGCCATGGAGGTCGCGGCGGGCGCCGCCTCCGCGCAGCAGCACCGCAGCAGGCGGAGCGCTTCCGCCGACGCTCGCCGGCGTGCGGCTTCCCTCGCCCCCGATCCCCCACCCCCTGCCCCCACCCCGTTGCGCCGCCCCCCCCCCCCCCCCTCCCCCGCCCCACCCCCCCCCGCCTCCCCCCACCCCCTCCTGCAACCCCGCCTCCTGCCACCAACTCCCCCCCCAGGAAGCGCCCAATGCTCCAGAGGAGGAGGAGGAGGAGGAAGAGGAGGAGGAGGAGGAGGAGGAGAAAGAAGAGAAAGACAAATATAATATTCATAAGAAGAAGAACAATAATAACATTCATAAGAAGAAGGACAATCATACTAATATTAATAATACTACTATTAATAATAATCATAATAACAATAATAACTAATCATAACAATCATAATAATAATACTACGAATAATAATGATAATAATAATGATGATAATACTAAATAACAAATAAAAATGATGATAAAAAGAAGAACGATAAGAAAAAGAGGAGGAAGAGGAGGAGGAGGAGGAGGAGGGAACATGAGGAGGGACGAGGGAACGAGGAGGAGGAGGATGACGAGGAGGAGGATCAGTGTAAACCCAAAGCCATCAACGATGCTGCCAGAAGCCCAATCATAGGCTCGTAGAAAAATATCCACTGCGGGAAGAGCCCCGTCTGAAGACGACCGTTTGAACATCTACAATCGTGCCAAAGCACCATTCCTGGGACTTCAACGCCGCGGCACAACGTAACTGTTGGGACACGACGATCCCACATCAGACATGGGACGTCAACACAGCGAATCAACGCGACGGTCGCGCCCTGACAATCATAAATCGTGACACCACACTGTTTCTGGGGCGCCAGCCACAAGAACCCTTGGAAACTCTTACAAGCTGTCAGAACGAGTGCGCGCGGCGCGAAGGCGATACCAACCTTTTGAGCACGGAGCCGCCCTCCGTCCGTGAAGCTCGTGCAGCAGGTGCGAGCGCGCGCGGCGCTAAAGCGAGAGCCACTGTTTGAAAACCTTGGTATCGCTCGGACGTGTGCACTTTTCCCGGCGGGGATTATGAAGGAGCATCCCGGATCATCCTGCGATTATTAAGGAGCATCCTGCGATTATTAAGGGGCATCCTGGGATGATTGAGGATCATCCTGCAAAACAACACGCACGAAACCGAACAAAACACAGGGAAAGGACGTCCGAGCGATGGCCAGAAAACGCCCGCCCTCCATCCGTGAAACTGCTTCCAACTTTTAGCACGAATGCGCGTGGCGCTAAGGCGAGAGCAACATTTTGAAACGACCCGCCCTCCATCCGTTGAGCTACTGCAGATTTCAAGTTTCGGGATCATGAGTGGTGAGGAAGTCTCTGGCGAAACGCCCGGCCAGCCTTACCGACCTGTCTCGGGGTGCGACAGGGGGCGATTAGGAGGAGGGGGAGAAGGAGGAGGAGAAGTAGGAGGAGGAGAGAGGGGAGGAGGAGGAGGAGGAGGAGGAGGAGGAGGAGGAGGAGGAGAAGGAGGGGAGGAGGAGGAGGAGGAGGAGGAGGAGGAGGAGGGGAGGAGGAGGAGGAGGAGGAGGAGGAGGAGGAGGAGGAGGGAGGAGGAGGAGGGAGGAGGAGGAGGAGGAGGAGGAGAGAGGGGGAGGAAGGAGGAGGAGGAGGAGGAGGAGGCGGGAGAGGAGGAGGAGGAGGAGGAGGAGGAGGAGGAGGAGGAGGAGGAGGAGGAGGAGGAGGAGGAGGAGGAGGAGGAGGAGGAGGAGGGAGGAGGAGGAGGAGGGAGGAGGAGGAGGAGGAGGAGGAGGATGAGGAGGAGGAGGAGGAGGAGGAGGAGGAGGAGGAGGAGGAGGAGTTATTCACAAGGAAGAGGGATGGAGGAGTTAGCTCAAGGTGGAGAGGGGGGGGAGAGTCGATTCGAGCAGGGTGGCCGCGGCGCCAATGCTTCGGCCGCGAGAGCGGGAGGCGCAGGCCTCTCTCGAGGAAGGGGGCGACCACCCCTCGCCCCCAACATGACAAGAGCTTACGGTCAGGAATTTGGGCTTCGCTTGTAGCTCCGCCTGTTCTGGTCCACCGCGCCTCTGCGCGAGACGCCAACCACGTCGCCATGTCCCAGCGTCGACGTCCCCGGCCGTGCCCAGCCTCCCGAAACGCGGAGCGGAGCGACGCGCTATCCACTCGCAGAGCAGAGCGTGTCGCCGCGACACGCCAAGCATCGGTATCGTTTAACCAATCCCCATCCCCATCCCAATCCGCTTCGAGACCTCCACCAAATTACCACCCCAGTTGGGGATACACACCTCGAAACCCAAAGGAAACGACCTATATCCCCATCTAGGGGGGTAAATTGGCCAGTAGGGCCCAGGCCACGCCGCTGGGGATCGGGATCGATCAAGCGATACTCAAAGCAACAGTCCGCGATCGTGAAGAGCGGGAGCGTCCCTCGCAGGGAGCAGCGTGCCCGCATGGCTCTGGGGCTGCTGCTGGCCTTTGTCGCCTTCACGGAGTTCCTGCCCTCGGAGCCATTCCTGACCCAGTTCCTGACGTCGAAGGGGCTGACCAAGGAGCCGGGGCCACGTTGGAGTGGGATAACTGGAGGGCTTCTCCGAAGGGCTTAGGCGACACGTCTTCCTCCTCCTCCTCCTCCTCCTCCTCCTCAGCCTCCTCCTCCTCCTCCTCCTCCTCCTCCTCCTCCTCCTCCATCCCTCTTCCTTGTGAATAACTAGCTCCTCCTCCTCCTCCTCCTCCTCCTACTCCTCCTACTCCTCCTCCACCTCCTCCTCCTTCTCCCCCTCCTGCTCGGGTCGCCTACGGCCCCAGGGGAAACCGTGCAGCCGGGGCAACGCTGGGGTGGGACAGCTAGGCTCAAGGGGGGGGGGGCATCCACCCCAAATCGCCCGTGCATCGCCGATAGGGGCCCGATAGCCCACCCCGCCCAGGAGCGTGCGGGACTCGCTGTCGGGGGCCCCTTCTCCGATCTGCAGTCGCAACTGATAGTAAGGATGGTTAACTTCCCAAGGGTAGCCTTGCCTCCTTGCCTCTTCGTAGCCCACCCCGCCCAGGAGCGTGCGGGATTCGCTGTCGAGGGCCCTTTCCCCGATCTGCAGTCGAAACTGATAGTAAGGATGGTCGAGTTCCCAAGGGTAGCCTTGCCTCCTTGCCTCTTCATAGCCCACCCCGCCCAGGAGCGTGCGGGACTCGCTGTCGGGGGCCCATCGCCGATCTACGGTCAAAACTGATAGTGAGGATGGTCGACTGCTCAAGGGTAGCCTTGCCTCCTTGCCTCTTCACCCTCGACCACTCTCGATGGCCAGCCCCGCTCGACAAGCTTCGGCATGGGCGTCCGAGGCCCTTGCCCCCTTGTCGCGCGCCCTCACTAGCATTAAGTCGGGCCAGTCCCTCTACAGGAGGAATGTTCAAAGATAGTCTACCAATAGTCTGGGGACGAATGTTGGACTATTTTTGACTATGTTTGAACAATGTTTGGGGTATCTTTTACTTTTCGTCCAAAATCCGCCTGCTGGGGGGCACGCCCGACCTGACCGTATCGGCGACGTGCCGCCGATTCCAGGGTTAGGTCGGGCAGGTTCCCCTGCATGCAGATGTTGGGCGAAAAGTTAGAAATGCCAAACAATGCCCAGATATAGCCGAAAGTATTACAAACATCGCCCCCATATCATTTTTGGACTATTTGGGAAGAGTCCTCCTGTAGAGGGACAGGCCCGACTTTATTCCAGGGCCGAGACTCCTACCCCCCGGCGCTGGCCCCCGGGTGGCTCCCTGGGCCAGAGCGCCTCCGGCGGCCTTCGGCGAGGCGCAGCTGCTGGCAGGCCCCCCCGAGGCGGGAAAGCCGCCGAGAGCCAACGAGGACGCCGAAAGCCTCGAGTCTCGAAGCTGGTCCTCCTCCTCTTCCTCCTCCTCCTCCTCCTCCTCCTCCTCCTCCCTCTCCTCCTCCTCCTCCTCCTCCTCCTCCTCCTCCTCCTCCTCCTCCTCCTCCTCCTCCTCCTCCTCCTTCCTCCTCCCCCCCTTAAGGGTAGGTTTCGGACGGGCCTGCCCAGAGATCCAACGTATTGAACAAAAATCCACACGGAGGTTTTTCGCAGCTTTCGGCCTCAAGGCGCCCTCGCTGAGCCTCTGGGCCGCCAACCAAACGATTCGGGACGAAAACCCGCTCCCGGGGAATGGGGTCGAGACTTCTGGGGGGGCCAGCGTTGAACAAAAACACGACGTCGGACCTCTAGGTGGAATCGAAACAGATCCGTTCCGGAACGCTCTCAGAGCGCCCCACAGCGCTCTGGATCGCCGCGGCCCCGCGGCGCCCGAGGCATCCTCCAAGCCAGCCTTCATTCATCGGTCCGAGTTTGTCTCGATGCTGCCTTCGTCTTTAGGTTCGTGCCGCGTCGACCGGCGGGGACCCCGCCGCCGGCGTTCAGTGTGGAACGCCGCCGGCGACCCAGGATCGGTCGACGTGGAACGGTCGGATGTTTCGGAAGCGGCCGATCATTCGAGGTTGAGCGATCCCCGCGGTGTCGGGAACCGACGCCGAAGTCGGCACGACACGAACCTGCAGTAACGTTTGAGTATGCCTGGGGGGCCAGGTCTAGAGTTAAGTCGGGCATGTCCCTCTACAGGAGGAATATTCAAAAATAGTCAAAACATAGTTTTGGGACGATTGTTTGACTATTTTTGAATATGTTTTGGGTTTTTGTTGGTAACTATTTTTTAATGTTCGCCCAAAATCCCCCTGTAGGGGGACATGCCCGACCTAAGTCTGGAGGGTCGGAGCGCAGGGCGCTGGGGAGGCGTGCCACTTTCTTTTTCAACATGCAATGCCTGTTTGGGGTCAACTAGCCGCCATGGGCGACGTGCCGACACCTCCAAAGTTGCACCGACGACCAGAAAATGAAGTTGTCAGGTTCCTGCGCGCAGCTCCATAGACTGACGGGGGACCTGGCACGGGAACGTACTCAACGCAACGTTCCCCTCGAAGGAGCAGGTGGACCACGACCTGTTCAGCCTCTGGATCTACGTCCGGCTGCCGCTGCTCCTCGTGGTCGGCGCCCTCGCCGAGCACGTGGGCAGCGCCAACGTGCTGCTACTGGGCTCCGCGCTCGGCTGCTTCACCGTCGCGGTGACGCGCTTCGCGAGGAAGAAACAGTTGCCTAAACTACGGGGCCAAAACATAAACACCACCACCACCACCACCCTCGCCCCTCGCCCCCTCCCTCTCCCGCCAAAGAGGAGAGCGAGAGGAGGGAAGAAAGGGGGAGTAGGAATGGAGGTGGTGGTGGTGGTACAGTCTTGGGACCCCCTGTAGAACATAAACTTTCGGAGCTCCGCACGGAGCTCCTGGATCTGCGCTGCGCCCCCCCTGGGCGACGCCTCCGGCGCGGCCCCTTCGGCGCGCTGCCGCGCCAGGGAGGGGGCCCCAGCGCAGCTGCAAGAGCTCCGCGCGGAGCTCCGAAGGCTTGTGCTGATGCGGCTTTTTGCTCCTCCAGCTTCAGCGCGTGGATACCCGCGCTGCAGGCCACGCAGCTGACCGTGGCGGCGTCGCTGGCGGCGCACTCCGGCCCCCAGTGCCCCGGAGGAGGGCGTGAGGAGGCGACGGCAGCTGGCCTTCCCCCGACTCCGGATCCGCCGTGCTTGTCGTCGACGCCGCGAGTACAGTGGAGGCCCATGCCAAGAAACACCCTGCCTGCCTTCAGGGGGTTTCGATGGTTTCGATATAAGAACCGGGACGTTCACATGCCAAAAATCAGTGGGCGTCCTGGGGTCTCAGGGTTGGGTTTCTCGTGGAAGGTTTCTTGTGGACGGGCCCCCACCGCAGGTCAGGGGCGGCCGAACCGACCCCTAGCAAGCCATCTCCTTCCGTGACGTCCTCCTCGCCTCGCCCCAAGGCGTAGGTATGCGGCCGGAGGGACGCTTGAAAGGCGAGGATGACGCCACGGAAGGGAATGTCGGGGGTGGACAGAACCCCCATCCTGACACGTCGATTAGTGAATTGTCCGCTTTCGGTTCTCGAGAGGGCGCCGCGGCCGTCATTTCCAAGGCTTGCGCCCGCCATGTTTGGGCCCGACGACTAAAGGGGGTTCTGTCCATCCCCGAGAATGTTTTGTCAGGGGTCGGTCAGGCCGCGCCCGGGTAGGGCGGGAATTTCCGCCCCACCTTTCGAGCTCCGGTGATGTCGACTTCCGCCTGGCCTTGCCGTCGCTGGTTCTGCCATACCGCCCTGCTTTCCCGAGGTCTGAAGCGGAAGTCGTCGCCCTGCTTTTTCGCATCGTTCGGGGTGCATCTCCGGCACAAGTGCGAACCAGAAGATCAACTAAAGCACGTCGGATGCGGAGTCAGGGCGCGGTACTTGGCCTTCGGGGGGCCCCCTCGTCGCCACGGCTGGGCGCAGCTCGGAAGACTGGTGCCTTTGGACCCGGGAGGGGTCCAGGGATCCATTTCGAGCTGCCGTTGCCCTAAGTCGTCCTGCTCCGAGGTACGCGGTGCTTTTCGAGGTCAGCGCGGTGCTGGGCAACGACTACCATCGGCGGCGCGCCTGGGGTGGGGAGGCAGAGGGGGCGGGCCTTCAGGAGGTTCAGAAGGCCTCCGGCCTTCTGGGAAGCTGTCTGAGCCTTCTCCGAAGCCACAGGGGGCGCCTCAGAAGTCTGCAGGGTTTCTGAGAGGCCCCACCGCCTTCTGAGAAGGCCCCAGACGTTCGATAGCTGGGATTTTTCAATGCACAGACGTCCAGGGCAGCTTCTTCATCCCGAGCTGTTCACCCCGAGGTCTGAGGCTGACGTCTCCGCCCTACTGTTTCGCCTCGTTTGGGGTGTGTATGTGTGCCTGACACTCCGCTAGGTTCGCGAGAGGGCGTCGCGGCCGTCCTTTTTGCGGGTCCAGGTCCGTCGGTTTCGGCCCCAGAGGCCGTTTTCACTAAAGGGTGGTGTGCCAAAGGGAGGCTTGTCCACCGCCGACACTTCCGTATCCTACCCTGCCCTTTGCTGTCCCCCCCTTTCGTTCCCCCCGATCCCCTCGAGGGGATGCCAACAATACACGACGGCACAAACACGACCTTTCGGTGGTGCGCGCGGAGTTCTTTGATCTGCGCAGGGTCAGGGGCAACGTCCGGCGGGGACCGGCTCAGGGGGGAGGCTCGGCAGAGAAGCGACGGCACAAACACAACCTTTCGGTGGTGCGCGCGGAGTTCTTTGATCTGCGCTGCCCCGCCCCTTCGGGGGGGACGCCAGCAATGCACCACCACCAGCCTCCGGCCAGGTCCACCCTGGGCCCTGGACGGGTGTGCAGACCTCCAGGCCTGGGCCGGGAGAGCCCGTGCACCAGTCCAGGGCCCAGGATGGGCCTTGCCAGGGCTGCTGGTGGTGGACTGTTTGGAAATAGCGGAAGAATAGATTGGGGAATTTAAACAATAAAAGTTGAGCATTTTGGGAGTATTTTTCTGAGTGTTTTAAATTTTTCGCCCCAAATCCCCCTGTAGGGGAGGCCCGACCTGACGCTATCCTCCCCCCCTTTCGTCCCCCCCCGATCCCCACTTTCCCCCCCCGGCGCGCCGCCGAGCCCGAAGCACGTCCACTGGCTCATGGCCGTGCTGCTGTGCTCGAACTGCGCCGCGGGCGTGGTGGGCAACGCCATGCTCTCCGCGGGCCTGCCCTACCACCGGATCTGGGAGCTGAGCCTGGCCGCGCAGGCGGCCCCCGGGGTCCGCCCCCGCCCGCCCTGCCCCCGACTCGGGGAGGGGAGCGAGGAGGAGGATCGAGGAGCGAGGAGGAGGAGGGTCCGAGGAGCGAGGAGCGAGGAGGAGGATCGAGGAGGGGATCGAGGATGGGGGATCGAGGAGCGAGGAGGAGGATCGAGGAGCGAGGAGGGGATCGAAGCGGAGGGTGGCATCGGGCAGTGAGGGAGCGAGGAGGGGCTCGGGCAGGGGGGGATCGGTCCTCCCTCCCTCCCCCCCCCGGCTGGCGGTTTTCCGATGAGGTATTGAACCGCTTCGCTCACTCCGCTAGTCCATCATGTATCACTGGTGCTGTATGTTGGTGTGCTCGTGGCGAGCGAGTAGTAGTAGTAGTAGTAGTAGTAGTAGTAGTAGTAGTAGTAGTAGTAGTAGTAGTAGTAGTAGTAGTAGTAGTAGTAGTAGTAGTAGTAGTATAGTATAGTAGTAGTAGTAGTAGTAGTAGTAGTAGTAGTAGTAGTAGTAGTAGTAGTAGTAGTAGTAGTAGTAGTAGTAGTAGTAGTAGTAGTAGTAGTAGTAGTAGTAGTAGTAGTAGTAGTAGTAGTAGTAGTAGTAGTAGTAGTAGTAGTAGTAGGAAAAGGAGGAGGAGGAGGAGGAGGAGGATGACGATGATTGTAATGATGATGATGATAATAATAATGAGGATGCTGATGTTGATGCTTATGATGATGATAATGATGATGCTGATGTTGCTGATGCTGATGTTTATGATGATGATGGTGACGATGATGGTGATGATGATGCTGCTGCTGCTGATGATTATGATGATGACGATGATGATGGTGATGATGATG